ATATTTAGTCATTGCAACTGTAGTTGATCAAATAAGCATCCTTTTGGGGTCTAGGATGGTGATTCTATCCTTCCACAGTTAAATATACTGGTTAAGAGCAGATTATTGAGGCACTTTTTGATCACAAACATTCAAATGTAGTGGTAGAGAAGCATGTAACTTTCTTTTCCCTTCCAACTGAAGGGGATGCTCAAACTGGATTATAGTAGAGGAAAACTCAATCAGCTGATGTCCAAAGAGTGAGATCCTATCAAAGGCAGCCAGAGAACAGAAAGAGCAACTTAGAATAAGTTTGAAGGAAACTGATGTTCTTGAATAACAAAAATACTATCACTGTGCCCTCCAAAAGTGAGAGTCTGAGCCTGGTGGGAAATGAAGCCAGACAATCAGGTGAATTTTATCAGAAGTACAGCAGGTCAAGAACGTTAAAGGACCAGATAAGAAAATAAGTATCTGTAGCAGGATTGTAGAAGGAGGGATGATTCACTCTGGAAGTGAAGGGACCACTTCCAGACTCCTGTAGCTTGCTATGGTTTGCAAAACCGAGAGCACATTCCAGAGGGACCGAGCCAGAGCCAACATCCAATGGGATGGGTTGTCAGACCTGGAATGGGGCTGCCTCAAGAGGTTCTGTGTTCTCTATCACTGGAGGGATTAAAATTCAGGAACATTTCCCCAAGGATCCTTGAACAGTGAGAGAGAGGATGGAATGGATGGTCCTAAAAGGAACTTTCTGGGTTCTATTGGGAATTTTGAGTATGAAGGTAAAGGTTATTGTCCAGACTAAAGCCTGATGTATTTACTTATTCAATTGTCTCAAGCTTACATCACCAACTCTAACTCCCCCCCCCCTTTTATTTTCACAATGGATTGGGTATCACCATCATTAGAATAGCATCACATATATTTTGGGTTTGAAGAGGAGTCTAATGGTGGGTGGGACCCCAAGCTAGTAGCTTATTATTAGTTGTCACCACAGTTTTGTGGCCCTGTTCTTTGAAAGTTGAATGACTCCATGGTATTTTGTAACCTATGACTAGAATAAACAATAGGCAATATTCCCAGGAGACAGTCAATTCATCACTTTTTTTTTAATGGAAAAAGAGTCAGCAGAAGACAGCCAAGCAATAAATGTAATATTAAAGATAGTCAAAACAAAGGAAATATAATTTTGTTCAGAACTAGAAAAAAAATCCACTGCTATGTCTCAATATATATAGCCTATAGCAAGTTCCCAGGAACTTATTTTCCAAATATAGACTAATAGGTCTTCTTATCCACTAAATTCAAACCATCAGTGAAAGAGGTCAGGAAAGGTGCATGAAATTAGGAGGATTGATGAGCTGAGTGTCGTTGTGATTTTGTTTCTTATACAACTTGAATTTATGCTTTGAGAGTTTGGAGTCTAAGAAAGTGGTACAATTCCAATAGCTTCACAGAGATATTTTTGGAGCAGGCCACAATGTTCTCCAGTAAGAGAATGCATTCTATCCCCACATGCTATTGTAGAATCATTATTCATTTAACAAAATGTGGTCTTTTCAGGTAGCAAGTTTAGTTCTATAGTTAAAATGGACTTAAAGTATTCTGGAATATATCTAGAAAATATTTTGTAAAATTTCATATATTAAAAAAAAGAAAATATTTTGTATATATAAAATACAATATTTTTTAGAAATTTTCCATGGTGGCACAAACAATACAGGAAGACTTTCTTGTTTATATGTAGTGTGGACTTTGAAATTTGCATACGTGTATGTGTTTTAAGTGAATTTTGAAAGTCGGCAAAACATAAAGTCAATCATAAAATTATCCCCTTTGCTTCCAAATTGTGCAATAATCACAGCGAGGAAGAATTAATTTTTTTAAAAAAGCAAATATTTGAGAAAAGCCTTTGTGTCTTAATACCATGATAATGGCTTCATTTATCAACAATTGAGTGCTCATCAATGCCAGGTACAGAAGTGAAAGATAGTTTTAACTTAGAGTGCTCTCCAAGTTAGTCAGCTAGTCAGTGCTAGTGAGGGAGATAAACTAGGCAGCAGGAGTAAGTCTGATAGGAGACACAGGTGCACAGAGGACTCCTTGGGAGATCTGAGAACCCAGTGTGGCCTGAAGGCAATGGAGGTGAGCTGGGCTGGATAAGAACTGCACTGGACTCCGCTAAGCACACCAGAGACAAGCACCAGGAGGCACCAGAGAGCAGCATGTGTGAGCTAGGTACCTTTGGCTTCTTCCCCAGCATTGTTCACTTCCCAGAGAAAATAAGATGTTCATAAACTCCATTTTTGTCCGTTTAAATGTTGAACAATCGGAAAATCTTTCCAATGGATTTTCTTTTCGTACACTTTGCAAAATCAGCAGCAGAAGAGTGATGAGGAAGGTCCTATCCAAATGCCTTCTCTTCTACAACTGATAGGTGCATCCTCCCAGCCTTTGACCCAGGGGAGTTCACTTCCTCAACAGTCAGCATTGTTCTGGGAAGTGTTTTAGCTAGATTTTCACAAATGTCTGATCTCTTTGTATCAACAAATGCTGCTCTTTGAGCCGCATGGTGGGTTTCTACTTCTTTCCCTTTGTGTGTGTGTCAAATTGGAAAAAATGAAGGAAACTCTTTGAGATAAGAACATACTGTTATTTTTACTTACTTTCAAATAGCATCTTCCCTGTAGATTTAATATTGAAGGACCTGGACAAATAGAAGAAGGATAATTCAGTGTTCCTCTCAAATGTAGTCTTACATTGACAGTCCTCATATTTTACCTGTAAATCTCAATTGGTAAAACTATTAGGCTTTACTAGTTACTCATAATGGATCTCTTGTAGCCACATTTCTGTTGTAGTTCAAATAACTAGAAGAAAATAAGGAACATAAATTACTTGTTTTATGTGAAAATTGTCTTTCGTATGCAGTCCACAAAAGCAAATATTTTGGACATTTTTAGTATGTATGAATCATTAATGAAAAGAATCATTTCTGTTTTTCTATTGGCATTTTATTTTTTTGTGCATGCTTTTCTTCCCTGAATCTTACCCTTAAAAATCATCTGCCTGTATGATTTTCTCAGTATGCTACAACCTTAGCCACCATAGTCCCTCAGGAAAAAAAATGGACTTCATTCAAATTAAGGTTCGTAGGAGAAAATACGCTCTTTGGAAAGTCCCAGTCTTGAGCAAGAGAAAATATAAGTAAGATAGTAAAGATGAAAAGAGTTTAAAAGACTTGGTAACTGAGGGTGTGGCCTCAGTTTCTGGTTCTGTCATTTTCTACCCCAGACAATTTCATTATCCAGTGACCTTCAGTTTCCTTTTCTGTAAAAGGATGTGATGGATAATACCAGCTCTTATACACAACTACCCATCTACCTGCCTAATTAGACGGAGGTTTTCCTGAGCATTTAAATAGGTAAAAGAACCTTAAAACGAAGTAGGATTTACAAATACTAGTTGTTATGGCAACAACTTTCCAATGTACAAAATATGATTCTATGACATTATATTTTATATACAGTACTTAGCATAATAGGCATTCTCTCAATGAGTATTTGCTTTCCTTCTTTCTCTCAGCTTTTCTTTCAAGGCTGCATATGTCCCATTTGTCTTCATTTACCACAAGGCTTTCTGTTGTCCTGCATGCTTTGGTCCATTGATGCTCTAATTATTCTTCCCTCATTCACAGGCTCAGAGAGGCAGCTGGCCATCAGCCAACTTTAGTAACCCCCTTCTTAGTTTGGACATCTGATTGTATAAAGAGCCTAGTTTTAAATTTCTGTGCGATTAGAACATAGATGGGTGGATATTGGTTTTATATCCCATAATACTTAATCCATTTGTACCAATGGCATTTATTGGGGTGCGAATGTTCACCAGTTTTGTGAATAACAATATGCATCATGTGTGTTTTACAAACAACTTTAACTCAGTACCGTACTTTTTACTTATGTGTTTTCTCACCAAATACTATTAAGCAACTATTTTCAATATTTACAATAATAGTACCTAAAATTTATTACATATCCACTGTGTGTCAGTGTTTTACAGAAATGAAATTATCTTCACCACACTAGGAGCTATTATTTATGCATTTTACAGATGGGGAAAACAAACCACAGAAAAGATATCAGGAGGCAAGATACCATCACAGTTGGTATCATCACAGAGCCTCTTTCCAGAATGACTGGATTAATTCAAGTTCCCCTATTATTATTTGTGCACCCTTAGATAAATTACTTACTCTTTCTGTGCCTTAGTTTTCCCATCTATAAAGTGGGGAAATAATAACACATCCCTCATAATGTCATGAAAGGCAAACACTGTCTTTCCCCTGAATGGCATTTTAGGTTCTCTTCACTACAGCAAAAATCTGCCTGCATATTGTTTGCTCCTCTTTCTTTCCATCATCAATAGTATTTTCAATGAGACAATTCTCCCAGAAGTGGAGATACAGAGTGCTATTTGATGATTTATTGCCTTACATTTCGGTGTTCAGTAAACACAATGGAATCCAAAGACAGGCTCTGTCACATTAATTTTTGGAGCCTAAGGTACTTTAGTGTCCCTATGGGAAAGTGACTTCAGATGAAACCCAGTTCTCAAATTTATTTCATTTTGGCTAAAACCATAACAAGTGCTTTCAGCACACTGAAAGTGTTAAGCCCCAAATGGCAAGCTTGTACTGCACACATTATTTTTTATTATAGCTTACTTGGTTTGAGGGTTCCTTTCCTTTTCCACGCTCTTAGACGCATTTAACAGGGACAGATATAACATAAAGTTATTTTATTGCTAATGAAAGGGCCCTGGCGTGAAGTCAGAAACAACTTTGTCAAAATCCTAAGAATAAGAACAATAAAATAAATTGCATGCTATTTGAGTCCCTTTAGAAGAGCTTTTGTCATTGAGAAAATGAGTGTGGATAAATATCGATTGTTTTTTCTCAAAAGCGTTTCCCCATTTCCAAAGCCCGTTGTAAGTCGGTGTGCTCTCCTGTGTCCCCACAGGCACCAGCATATTCACCGTCTATGAGGCTGCATCCCAGGAGGGCTGGGTATTCCTCATGTACAGAGCCATTGACAGCTTCCCCCGCTGGCGGTCCTACTTCTACTTCATCACGCTCATATTCTTCCTGGCCTGGCTTGTGAAGGTACCATAGAAACTGGCCCCGGTGGAATTGGTCTGCCCCCCGCCCCCCACAGCTTCTGATGATGTTTTATTTGCTTTTCGTTGCCCTACACTTTCTCATCCGGGTCGGGATTTTCTTTCAGAACGTGTTCATTGCTGTCATCATTGAAACATTTGCAGAAATCAGGGTACAGTTTCAGCAGATGTGGGGATCGAGAAGCAGCACCACTTCAACAGCCACCACACAGGTACCCATGGGGGGTGATGTCCTTTCCCCGCTGGAACGCAGGCACACCCTCAGTGGGCCCTGAGGAAACGTGGGAAAGCCCTGGGATAAGTGCCTTCTTCAGCCAGACCCACCGAGGGAGCTATTCAGCAATGCCCGTGCACAGGCCCAAACCCAGAGCAACCACATCAGCTTTTCTGGGTGATAGGGTGAGGGTACCTATGGTTTCATCAGCTCTGTGGGTGGGTTTGGCACAAAACCCACATTTACTATATACCTTTGATTTCATTCGGTCATTACAAGTCTTCAGAGAGCTTGCAGATAAAAATGGAAATGGTAGAATTTCCCGTTTTTAAAAATATTTATTCATGTGATTGAAAACCAATATGACGGCCTTTATGTATGGGATTAGAATTTTTTTTGGAACGGGAAATATGTTTCATTCAGACCGATCCAATCACAGTATAGTAAATTATGAAGAAGACCTCATAATGCATATCTGATTTTTGAGGAATCACTACATATTCAGTAGGGGAGCCCTATGCTCCCGAGAAATTGGGAGTGCCCTAGAATTTGGTTAAAAGCTTCAGGGCAGTTATTAACTAGGAGGGTAGTCCAGATCCGATGTCTTTGTTTTTAATTTTGGCTTTGTTTTGTGTGTGGATTTGGGGTGGGGGTTCTTTTTTGTGTGTTTAGAAAGAGGAAGGGATGGGATGCCTGGGTGGCTCAGTCGGTTCAGCATCCAACTCTTGGTTTCAGCTCAGGTCATGAGCTCACATTTGTGAGACCGAGCTCTACATCAGGCTCTGTGCTGACAGTGCGGGGCCTGCTTGGGATTCTCTCTCTCCCTCTTTCTCTGCCTCTGACCCACTCACTCACACACTCTCTGTCACTCTTTCTCTCTCTCAAAATAAATAAATAAACTTAAAAAAAAGAAAAAGGAACGGAAGGTTTATATGTCTTAGTCTAGTTTGAATCTTTATATAAGAGAAAGAATATAAAAGTTCCTGAATCAAGCATGAAATTATTTTGATGCTCATGGCTACTATTTTAATATTAAACTGTAAGATAAATTTAATGTAACATTGTAAATCATTATACAAGTCTGTGGACAAAGGTATTTGTGAAACCTCCAAGGTACAAATCTGGCTTTGAAAAGCTTCAAATTGAGCTTTTATGAATTACATGCTAAAATGCTATTAAACATGCTATTATTTGGAAAAGCCTTAAGCAACATCTTTACAGTGTTGTGAAGGTTTGAACTGACTAGCCAATTCATTATAGATGAAATAGTATTAATACTATTCAATTTTGTAAAACAACTAGTCAAACTTTTATGAAAGATTTTTTTTAATGTTATATAGGTTATATCACAGATGTAAAAAAAAGCACATCTAGTTTTTATTTCTTCTGTCATCTCTTCTAGGGAACTATGAAATATAATAAAGTTCAAGGTCCACTCTGGCTTGTCTTTTAAGTCAGGTGACAACGTCTGGAAGGTGTGTTTTCTGCTATAAGACGTTGAGAACTAAATAGAGCATAAAGCTAAGAACTCAGCGCAGAATTTACATTCAGTGTTCCTAAGAGTTGACCTAAAATAAAATGACTTTAAAACCACATTATGCTTATTAAGTAACTCTTATTTATAAAACCACAGCTGGAAAAGTCGTGTTTGGAAGCTCCACCAAATCAGCTAGCAGTTCTAATAGAAAGTGAAGTGGAAAGGGACTTTGAACAAAGTTGTGCAAAATGGTTTTGATGCAAAATTATACCTAATCAGGAGGAATAAATTGGTAATTCAGAGGTAATGCATCTAGGTATTCAGCAGAGGTAATCACACAGAGAATCCTGAAAAACCTTCATTAAGAGAAATGCTGTGGCTGAGGACCCGGTTGCTAGGCAACCAGAGCTTCTGCAGCAGCCTCGGGAAACATCACTTGGGCTGCCTGGCAACAGGCTGCAGGCCCCGCCCAGCCCCTCGCCAGCCAGGAGGCAAGTGGCTCAGATGCTTTTGTGTCTGAGGAGAGGAGGGACATCATTTTCTGCGATTCTGTTACATTTGCAAAATCTGGCAGAACTCTGTGCACAAGGACTTCACGTGGAATAGTTGTAAAAACTAAATCATTGGGGCGCCTGCGTGGCTCGGTCGGTTGAGTGTCCGACCTCAGCTCAGGTCATGATATCGTGGTCTGTGCGTTGAGCCCCGCGTCGGGCTCTGTGCTGACAGCTCGGGGCCTGGAGCCTGCTTCAGACTGTGTGTTTCTCTCTCTCTGTCTCTCTCTCTCTCTGCCCCTCTTCTACTCATGCTCTGGCTCTCTCTCTGTCAAAAATAAAATAAAACATTAAAAAAATTTTTTAACTACATCATTAGTTTATAATTCTAATAAAACAGACAGGCATTAAGAGAATAAAACAAAGATGGCTATTGTATTGCAAAGCACACAGCTTTGCGGAACTGGAGCCACTTCCTGCCATTCTCTAGTATGTGGAACATAAGCAGTGGTTCTGTGTAACTTATCCTCACAGAAAGGCTAAGGGGATCTCAGGCTTAGTGCACTTGTTGGTGTCTTTGGGTCCCTTGACTTTTCAAGAGCATTGGTGTTGAGAAAGAAAATTATACATATTAATGGGATGAGGAAGGGGCTTTCTGATATCTTAGTTCAAGAGGACTTGCCTCTGATGTGGACCGTACGGAGGCAAAAGAGAACCAGGTGATGAGAACTGAATGGGTTTGTGTTGTTGTTGTTGTTGTTGTTGTTGTTGTTGTTAACAAAGCAGTCTGCTTTTGACTCACATAGAAACAAATTACAGAAAAAAATAATGCCAAAGGACTTGTGGAGAGACCGTAATATAACATGTCACAGGAAAACAAAGAGAAAATGATGTGGAAAATTTCAGAGGAGTAATCATTAGTTTGTCTGAGCTCTGATGGAGATGATGGCTTTCATACCTGCACAATTATTAGCCGTGGGTCACGGTTGCCCCATGCTCAGCTGTGTGTTGGGTTAAAGGTCAGGAAACCCATAGGTCTGTGATAAAACAGCACGTGCATAGGTCCACAGTAGTGTGGGTGTATCGTCCCAGAGCTTGATGCTGGGATGCACGGAGTGCTAGTAGGAAACATCCTGAGCTTAGCCGCTCTCCATCCCAGGCCTCTGTTCTCACACCTTAGCTGCTTCACCTCAGCACCTGTCACCAGTCACCAGTCATGTGGTCTTCCGATTACGCTGATTCATGGTGGAGATAAGCTTGTTTCACTTTGCCGGGAGGAGAACGAAACTGTTAAGCTTGAAGGCCACACAAGGCTACATTTGTGTTATGTGTGCTCAAAAAACACTTGAGCTAGGCTCTGGCAATTAACGTGTACCTAACCTTTATGTACGAATTATAGTTCCCTAGGGTCATACTGAGGGATATGGAGGGACAACTGGCAGCTCAGGACTCGAGCCCTGAGGGTTCCTGGCTTGGGATGTCTGTTGCCTATCTCACATAGCTGTCGCATTAACCAATCTAAATGTTGTTTTATAATTCAGGGGACTAAAGACAAATGGAACCTTGGACATGTCTGAATTTCTTTCACTTCATTTTATACAAAGGGGTGACCTTGAGAGAACACTTTTACTAACAATTAAATTGATTCATTTGATTTTGGTCAGCTGGAAAAAAAATAATTTAACAGAGAAAACTAGTCTGCTGCTGATCAAAGCAAATCTATGCCCCAGGGATCCTTTGTGTCATGATAAGAGACCATAGGCTGCACATACAGAAGATTTTTAGCTAGTGACTGACAGGATTGCTTTTGTCTTTTCTCCTTAAAAGGAGACACCCAGAATTTTGACGGGAACTTTAAAAGACACCGTAAAAGGTTTGCATTGCAACCAATGTATGTAGTCTCAGAATGAGCCTATTCATGGGGATGTGCTTGCTTCTACCACTAAGAATACCTTTCAACATTCATTCTAAAGGGAATCAGAATCCTGTACACGGACACCTGAGCGAAGTAATTTGTAACTTCCATCTTTGATCAAAGAATCTTTGGGTAAATGTGCACCCCCATCTTGTCACTTAAAAATACACATGTGGTATATAGACAGATGGTAGCTATCCTTGGGGTGAACATAGCATAATGTAAAAATAAATCAGGGTACTGTTTCAAGGGATAATTAAATTGAGCATATGTGGAACAATATTTTGTAGGATGTCCTACGAAAGGTGCTCTCTGTATATGTTTTGAAGTTCAAAATAAGTAGCATACTTGGCAAAAAGCCACCCATGCAGTCTTCGAAAAGTATTGATTCTAGGACATAAACAACTGATACACCATTTTTCTGAGTTGCAGGTTGGCATTGTAGAGAATTCTCAATCCAACGATTAAAAAAAGTTTTCTTTTTTTAAAAAATATTTTTAATGTTTATTTTTAAGAGAGAGGGAGAGAGACAGAGTGTGAGCGGGGAAGGGGCAGAGAAAGAAGGAGACACAGAATTCAAAACAGGCTCCAGGCTCCAAGCTGTCAGCACAGACCCTGATGTGGGGCTTGAACCCATGTACCGTGAGATCAGGACCTGAGCCCAAGTTGGATGCTTAACCAACTGAACCACCCAGGCACCCCTAGAAAAACTGCTTTCTGGTAAATACATATATGGTCTGTGAATTTTGGCACTTGTCCCTGACTATGTCACTTATTTTATAGAGGGAAAGTTGTCTTTCTGCAAATGATCTGCTCCCAGGAATCTTAGGTATGGGATCTTTGCATAGGCTAATATTTCCATCGATAATTACCCTTTTGAACACAGACTAACACAAGGACATGAATAAGTATGGCAAAGGAAATGTCTACTTACGTGTGTGAAACTATGTCCTTGGGCAGGAAAAAAAAAAAACTAGCTTATAGTTAGTGTCTTAGAAAAATAAAAATCGTTAATCCCAACTTACCTCACTGCCAACCACACCCCTCCCGCTATACACAAACCCATAAGGAATTGGAAAGAAAATATACTAGTGGGGAAATAGTGGGCAGTGTCTTCCCACTGGCTGTAATATTGATGGATGCCTAATTTTTGAGGCAGTAGAATGTGCAGTAAGATAATAAACTAGGCAGCCAACAATCCAGATATCCAATCCAATAAATATCAGATTTTAGTATCCTGTACCATTCTGGATTTCATCACTTATGTATTTTAAGGCAAAAGAAACTACTTTTCCCTTCATAAATATGTACATAAAATTCTGCTGAGCAGATTAATTTGGCCTAGTTAAAATAATTTCACAGAGTCTAAGTGATATGTCAGTCTCCTACCATTAAAATAACACCAGCCTTATTCCTTGTGCCACATGCATGCTTCTTATATTATTTATCCAGAGAATATTTTTCTGTTGGCTGAGTGAGAAATGTCCACTAAATAAAGATAAAAATTTACAACTCCTAGTAAAAATCACACCGGACATAATGCTTGGGAATTCTCATTTTCATTTTCTTCCAGGTCTAATATGTAATAATCGATAACCAATCTAATGGGGATAAAATGCCTACCTTAAAGTCTAGTCAAGAAGAATATTTGGGCAATTATATGCCAAGGATGTATAAAGCAGAAAGGACCTGATGCATAGCAAGGGCTCAATAAATTCAGGCTAGCGATTACCATCATTCTCATTATGATTATTATTCACTTAAGTTTTCAGTGTTCAAATGAACATAATTGGAATGACTCATGTTCTAAATATAAATCCATAAAAAGACACATCTTTGATAACATAAAAAATGTAAGCGCTGGAGACATAAAGTAGGAGTTCTCGATGTTCCATATTAAGTGTCTCTGACTCATCTCCTTCTTTGTCTTGAAGATGTTCCATGAAGACGCTGCTGGTGGATGGCAGCTGGTAGCCGTGGATGTCAACAAGCCCCAGGGACGCGCCCCAGCCTGCCTCCAGGTGCAGTAAATACCATTTTTAAACTCATGCAGCAGAGTTCTTTGACTTTTATCCAAGGAAATCCCCGGTTCTCCGAACTCTATGTCTGTCCAAATTTATGGTCCTGGAGTCAGGGACAGTATTTTGCTCCATCCTGGACAGTATTTTCCCAGGATCTACCTATTTTTTTCCTAAGATACACAGCAAGGATTTGGTAAATTTCAAGCAAATGAATGCACACAGGTAGTGCTAGCATTCCAACAGTATTAAATCAGTGAAATATTCTGTTGTCATATTAAATGATGTAAAAATATTCTTCTACAAAGGCCTGAACTGTTTACATGAGGGTGGTCACAATCACAATCCACTTAACTGAGTACCTTCCCAAGGAACTGGGAAGGAATATTTTTTTTTTT